CGTGTTCTAAATAAGCAAATGAGTTTGCAGAATTCAACAAATGTATAATTTCTATCACAGTTTCTTTATAAACACAAAGAATATACTTGGTAGGAATCGAAATATTATTTATTTTTTGCTGTGCATAATTAAGTAAATAGCCAACAATAGTATCAGAGTCGACTTTGTGTTCGTTAAAGATTGTTAATGTATCGTTGAACAATAACATATTAATTGTTGTTATTCTTGTTCTAGTTTTTTAAGAAAATATTATTTTCTTGTTCTAAATCTGATTTTGAAACAAAAATTAATTTTGGTCAAAATGGATTGAAAAATTGGATGGGAAGTTTAGCGGCGAATACGCAGCAGTGCAGCAACAGCAATGGTTGCCGCTGCAAAGAAACAGCAACAACACTGCAAAGGAATGGCCGCGGGTGATGCGGCAACGACAATGGTTGTAGCTGCAGAGAAGTAGCCACAACACTGTAAAGGAGCGTGCGAGAAGAGAGAATCGTTGTCGTACGAGAAGAGGAGCACGGTCGCTGCACATCGTAGCGCATGACAGCAGCAACCGATAACTATGTTGAAGTAGCTACTGCTGTCCCTATGTGATAGCGGTGGTGTCCTCACACCATGGCCAGCGCCGTCAATGGAGTAGGATTCTCTTGAGGTTTTCAAATTGAGTGTGAGATTGGAGGCGGGGCCTCACGTGCAATTTGTAAAATTGAGGGCCCATATCTGTAATTTACATATAGGGGTTAGTTTGCAAATATTTTATGTGGGGAACTACTCTGCAATTTTTGAAATTTGAAGGGTTTACTTATAATTTTAAATGTGTAAGAAAGCAATTTTCAAAAGGTGGTTTTGAATTTAATAAACAAAGAATTTCTACATTTGGTTTTTAAAAGGGTTTAATCCAAATTTTAATTTTGACTCATTTAAAATTCACAAGTTTTTAAATTATCATTAAAATTGGATTTTAACTTAAATATTAAATTTTGACCCTAAATTGAATTTTATTTTATTTAGAAGTTTTATACTAAGTTAAAATTTTAATTCAATTTAAATTAAAGTTAGGCTCCAATTTAATATTTAACTAAAATTTGATTTTAATTAATTATCCACCATAATATATTCTTGAAAGCATAGCTGGACTCTAATTTGACTGTAATTAAAATTTGATTTTAATTGAATTATCTCGCCCTAAAACTTTGGCGTTACAATTGGACTCCAATTTGATATTTAATTAAAAATTGATTTTAATTAATAAGTTTGTCCCAAATTTTGGAATGAGAATTGGACACTAATTTGGTATTTAATTAAAATTTGATTTAAACAAACTCGTAAATTGAATTAATTAATTAATTTGATTGATTAATTATTTAATTGTTCTGATCATTTTGTCTGAATTAATTTAGACGACCTTAATTGCTAGAAACTTAAAGCATATTTGTATATAATATTAGATATTATATAAATATGCAGTTATGTGATGAATTTATATTTAGGGGATGATTATGGACTCGACCATGTAGATGTGTACGGTTAGTTTTAATTTTTGTTATTTTAGATCTGCGAGTCCGTTGTAATTATTATGGGCCTGCATGTCTAGTTATTTAGGCATGTGTACCAACTAGTATAGGATACAAGTTATAACTACACTAATTGAAAATTCAAGAAGAGGAGGAAACCATGGAAATCGTGCATTGCATGAGTCAATGCTATATCCCCTAAGAACTGACTAACTAGTCTTCCCCATAGCTCGGAAAGGCTAAAAAATTTAGTCCATAATCGTCAACAATATTATATGTACGTTCATTTGCATGTTAGATGTATAGTAAAATATTTATAATTATTACGATGAAA